CTGGATGAAATTGGTGACTTTTATTTTTTTATGTGTATGGATGTTTTATCTTCATCTATTCACCACTTGCATACCTAGTGTCTATGGAGACCAGTAGAGGGTGTTAGATCCCCTGGATCTTGGATTACAGACAATTGTTAGCTGCTTTGTAGCTGTTGGGAATCAAAACCAAGGTACTCTGGAAGAACAGCTAGTGCTCTTTATCAGTGAGGCATCACTCCATCCTCATCAAGATCTTTCTAAATAGAATCATGACATTTTTGTTTAGTATTGATGAACTTTTCAAGCATGGCTTCAGAGTGTTTGGTCACTGAAACATAACTTTGTTGTCCTGGCTTCTAAACAACCAAAGTAAATATGACAATATTTCTATGAAGCATTTCTGGATTCCCGAAAAGGCGGCGATGACCTCTATAATTAGGAACAAAGGATGAACACAAAAATTTAGAGTCATTTTCATCTTTACTAAAATGCTTCCCTTTTAAAGTAACATTGAGAGGAAGCTATTGAACTACTTTTTGTTACTGCCATCATCATTATTATCCTGATGCTTAGATTAGTACCTTTAGACATTAATATAAAGATAATGACATTCAGTTTTATGGATCAACTCCTCCTCAAGGTATTCAGTGGAAAGTTTTGGCTTTTAATGAATTAAGTAATGTACTAACAGTTAGAAGCACATCTATCTCAAGCAAAATTCTCACTTTATCTTGGTTGTATTACAGTTTTATAGAATCATACAGAATCTATGTTATATTAAGTTTGCCTCTCTATAATGAAGAATAGATTCAGTGGTATAGCACCTGGCTCTTATGTTGTCTTTTACCTTCGAAGTAGGGGAAAAAGATGTTAATCCCTGTCTAACCTCGTTGTAATTTAACTGTTGCCACAGAGAGACCTTTCCTGCCCATGAAGCTGACTTAATTTGTGCTTCCCTCATAACTCTTCTATGCATAGGAAACAGCCCCTTGAGATGGGGAGTATGTCAGAGTACAGCTGTTACAATTGCCAACTCTGAGCTACCTTCCAGCACTATGACACCATGGTTCTTATGTATCACATGGAAATGTATAATAGACATTCTTTTTAAAAAGAATTAAGCAAATCGTTAAAGTTCTGATAAAAGAAATATGTGAAACTGGAACTAGTCTGTTATGTTGTAACTTCTGTTGAATCCAATCAGTAATGTACATCCCCAGAATGAGAGGCTGAGCTATAGACCCCCAGACTTTAAGACATACCTTGACATCCTTGCAGCACTACCATTATTACTGCACAGGAGAGAAAACAGTGGCTTCATTCATTAGGAACCAAAATTTAAATGACTTCCTGGCAGTAATCACTACATGGTTTGAATATTCTGAGTACAACAAAAAATACTAGGAACAATTACTGTAACAGGTAGAATGGATTAGTCACAAAACCAGTAGACGTAAGCTTCAAGTCTCCTCACTTGCATCAACCCTTTGAGAGGCTCTGGAGTTAGTCAGATTTCTGTCACTGACCAAACACCTGATACAAACAGCATGGAAAGATGAAGCATTTGTTTTGGCTCACAGTCTCGGAGGTTTCAGAACATGATTACTTACCTCTACTGTAGGTCTTTGGTGAGGCAGAGAGTATCATGGCAACAGGAAGATCTTGCAGAGAATGCTACTTACCTCATGGAAGCCAGGAAGTTGTGAGAAGGAGTAAAGATGAGAGATATCCCCTCTAGGACAAACCCACAGGGTACCACCTCTCCTGATTATGCTTTACCTCCCAGTGTTTCTACTATGTCCCAAAAACTCCAGCATCTTGGGGCCAAGAATTTGCCTTTGAGGGACATTTACAATCCCTTTCATAACTACTAGGTTTAGGGAAAAGGTGGTTTCAAGAGAGGCATAAGTTGGATCTTCCTTCAGATAGTGAGAGGGTCATTAGCATGACTAGAATGGCAGGAGCTACCTCTAGTTTTCTCAGTTTAGGACTTTTCTACCTGGAAGTCCCATTCCCAGGAAGGATGGGCCCCTTACTTTACAGTTTGACATTAACAGCTATATATTTAATTTGATAGGTATAATTTGAATTTTTTCTTAAGAAGGCTCTACCAAATTGCTCAAGCTTTCAGCAAACTTATGATCCATTTTTTATAGAAGATATTAATCTTTGACAATGAAATCAACCATACAATGAAAATGGCTTCAGCTCTGCTGTAAAGTTTTACTATTTGAACATGATTTTTTTTTTTTTTTTTGGCTGAGTGAAAGGAAAAATTCTGGTTAATTCAAAGAATTAACCTAGCCAGGTTCCAAGTAGAGTTGATCTCCTTCTGGGATATCTGTCTCTGATTCACCAGTGTTCCTGTCTTGTCTAGAAGAATTGTCTGGGAGACTTTGTCCTGTTCTGTCATTTCTATTTTGCTAACTTTTTCTTGGTTTCTTCCATGTGCCTGAGGATACAGAATGCTGCCCTTATTCATGGGCAACTTCTTTTTGCTTCATATTGTAGGTTGTATGATGGCTTCATACCAGCCATCCTAAGTTCATCTCTGGCCACATTTTTTTGCAAAAACACTGTTTTCAGTGGTTTAGGCTAGTGATTTTCATTTTAAGTAATGCTTTCTTGCCTGGGCTGACACCAGAGCATGAGCTCAAATGATCAGTTTCTTGGAAGCCATGAATACCTACAGTTATATGCCTTACTTGGGCCTTGGCCTTTGAAGTCTTAAAAGCAAATGTTCATATGACTGAAAATGTCAAACTGTCATTATGTTTGTCAAAATGTCTTGACTATAAAAAGCCAGTCTTTGAATAATGAAGGACCATCATTGAATTCTCTGCTCTGGTTCTAATGTGACTTCTCCTTCTAGAGGTAGTCAACATTCTGACTTCAAGGAATTGGTTAGTGACTAACCTATTCCATTATGACATTTCAGTAGTTATAAAACAGACAGTGCCAAAAGTGCCTGCACTTGCTAATTTATCTGACTTTGGGAAAGTGTTCTAAGATACTGAACTACACTTTCCTTCATATTATCTAGAGTTCTCACTGTTAACAAATAAAATGTTTTGGTTAGGGAACAGTCAGACTTGTGGGTAATTTTAAGTATCTAGAGTGTAAGTAACAAGCTGCAAACTTTCACTTTTAACACCTGATAAGTATGTCCCATTTTGCACATTTAATGTCAGATGTTCTGGATTTGACCTTAATAGTTTCTGTCACTGATGAAGTAAGTAAGTTACTTTGCTTGCACCTTTCTAAACTACCAAAATTTAGGTATTTATTTGTATGTATTTACTCATCCATATAGTCATTGATCTTTATTCAAATAGTACCTATTATTCAAATATTATCTATTGCATGTCAGTGTGTTTCAGAAGAATAAATAAAAAGTAATCATAATTATTTAGAGCAGTATTTTTTGTTAAAAAACTTAACTTCCCTTAAAGTAGCCAAGTTTATCTATTTCTGTATACACTAATATATACTTTATTGAATATTGTATTGAATAATTTATGTCAGATTGTTGCATTAACTTATCTTGAGAAAATGTGAACAATCATCTTTTTACCCCAGCCAAACACTGAAGACAGATAAAAGTAAGAATTTCATCAAAATCTGACTTGGTGAACAGTGACTTTACTGGGCTTAAAGTAAGCATAGATGACAGGCTACTTATAGGCCATAGGAAAACATAAAACACTTGCATTACCACAAATTTCAGCTCCATCATGGGTGATGACCTCCTCCTCTTAGTTAACTTCCCACTCCCTTTCTTCCTATATACTCTAGGTTCTCCCAAGATCACTTGCATTTGAAAAGGGGATAGGGGTTTTAACTAGGGTTTATATTTCTGTGATGAGATGCCATTACCACAGTAACTCTTATAATTGAACACATTTAATTGGCGCGATTTATAGTTCAGGGGTTTAGACTGTTATCATCATTACAGGACATGGAGGTGTGTGCAAGCACACATGGTGCTAGAGAAAGAGCTGAGAGTCCTACATCTTGATCTGCAGGTAACAAACAGTCAGATGAACTAGGTATAGCTTGAGCATAGGCGACTTCAAAGCCCCCCCCCCCCCACAGTAACACACTTCCTCCACTAAGGCCATATTTACTTTAACTTCTTAATGGTGCCATTCACTCCCAAAGGGGAAGCAAGAGAAACTGATGACTGATACAGGTAAGGGTACAGGACTCTCCTCTTCTCCCTTCTAGGGAGTGTCAAAATCTCTTATCACTATTACTATTACCTAGCTGTCAGTGTGTATTATTCTGTTTATTTTACCACATGGCCATCAGACTCAAGGATAGCTCTACTCTAAGGGGATGGAATAATCATGTTGTAGCAGGAAGAAGAAGCCACACTATAACCATAAATGCATATATACTTGAAAATAAAACCTTTATATATAGTCACATTTTGCTAATGATGGAAATTTATTTTTAAGTAAATTATTACCAGTGTAAATTTTTAACTTCCTGTCTATGCAATGACTTAAATTGGGGCATTGTGGATTCATTAAAAATTGACTAAGCATCAAGAGTCTACTCATAACTAAATCAACATTCAGAATAGTAGGTAGAGAAAGATAGAACTCTTAGCAGTGGCTTAAAAGTGTGTTGTATTTCATTACAACATACTGATTGTGCATTACAACATACTGTTGTGCAGTACTATCATAATGGGGGAAATATTTCTCCTTAACATCATCTATGCCCTTGAATATTTTTGTTATTTGTGTGTAGACTCTGTAACTGAGATTTAAGCAATCACAAAAATAAACTGGTCTCTACAAAACCCCATTATATAATTCTTAGTTGATTCTATGGTTAAGGATTTAATTATATCTAATTATTTCCTGTTACTTCACTGAAACCTCTGACAAATAACCAAGTGACGGGTAGCTTGGGTAATAATTTACAAGGTATTTTTTAGACAATATCAAATTAATTATGGCACTGTCTACAGTTCTCCAACAAACAGAAATATGTTTTTTTCATTTCAGATGCGATCTGTAAGCAGAGTCTTTAAGTTTATTGATTTACCACAAGAAGAAAGTGAGTGTTCCAAGATAATGAAAGGACTGCATCCCGAAGAACCGTCTCAAGTTTTAGTTATTGAGAATGAACATGTGAAGAAAACTGATACCTGGCCCTCTAGGGGTGAAATGGTTGTCAAAGACCTCACTGTGACATATGAGAATGACACGAATGCCATGTTAGAGAACATTTCTTTTTCAATAAGTCCTGGCCAGAGGGTAAGATTTCAACATTACTTGCTTTGTTAGTGAGTTTCAATATGTTCAGTGAGTCCCAACAACCATTGCAATGTTAGTAAAGCCCATTAGTAACATAATTATAAAATCATTGTTCTATATACATAGTTAAAGGTGTTACTGTGGGAAGTCATTATGTTCCATATGAAATTTAAGTTGCAGAGTTCTAAATCTTTACAATAGGTTTATTACAAATGTGACTATACTGCTCTTGTAAAATATGTAATTAACTGCATATTTTTCTAACTGTAGATGGCATTAAACATGTAACATGTGCCAAAAACACACCCATCACTATAACAGTAGCAACAAATCGGTTAATCAGCACAGTGTAACTTTATCCATGCCTTAATTAATTTGTATGAAACTTTAAAGTTGGCTTTCTATGGACAGTGTGTAGGATGTTTGAGTTCTTTCTATGGACAGTGTGTAGGATGTCTGAGTTCTTTGGGCCACCCTGCCAACCTCTGTCTTTCATCAAGTGGTGCATTTAGACCTTGCACATCTAGAGTGGCAAGAACATGTGCAGTTGTTCTTAAACTTCTTGCTTTTTGTTCCCTACTCTTGTTCTTTATTCCTATTTTTATTTTCAGTCCTTTTCTATCTGTTGTTCTTAGTCTTTTATGATTCCAAGTCTTTCTCTTTTCTTATCATAGTAATTCTACTTTTGTGAATTTTTAGTTTTCTCTAGAGTTGACAATATATATTTACAACGAATACAGGTCCATTTGAAAGTAAAACTGTTAGAACGTAAATGGCATCAGAACCTTATTGTCCCAGTGTCTCCCTCCTGTGTTTTGCATATTGCCTATGCTTCCTTTCTTGTATTTACACATCCCAGCTGAGCAAATAGGTGTTAAAATGTTTTTAAGGAAACTTCTCTTAGACCCATTAAGAGTAAGAAAACTAAGATTTCTCATTTCATTGCCACTTCATTTACTTTCTAAAGTGCTTCCTTTCATCATTTAGGTCCATGTTTGCAATTTCTTATAGATCTGAGTTGCATCTTCCAAAACAAGTCTGTTGGCTACACATCATTGCCTGTATGTTTGTTTGGTAGCTTCTAACTTGTCCTTACTTTTAAAAGACAGCTTCACAAGCTACACAATCCTAAGTCACCAGGCTTTGCATGTCCTCTTAGATTCCTTTCATTTGCTGATTTTATGGCATCCATAAAGTTCTAAGTAATTCTTATCTGAATTTTTTATAATAATGTATTTTTTTCCTCTGGGCTTTCTTCACTGTGTTTACCTGATAATTTTTGTAGCTTCAAAATGATTGCTGAGGTATGGTTCTTTGGCTTAAAGCAATATTCTTCATGTTTTTCTCTGTATCTGTATTGAGTAGATGATACCAATTTTGAGGGGGATCCTTGGTAAATATTGTCTGAACTATTCTCCTCTCTCCTTTATTTCAAGCCTTTATTCCCTTCTGTCCTCCACTCTTCTTTCTTTCTTTTTTGGTATTTACATTATGTACACATTACATTTTTCATAGTTGTGGCATGTTTCTTGGTTGTCCAGTCATTTTTTTCCTGAGACATTTTTGACGTTGGCTGTTTTTAATGACATAACCTCAAGGTCAAACATATCTAAGCTACTGATGACCTCATCAAGGCATTCTTTATTTTTGTTGGAGTACATTTTTTTTTGGCTATGGTTTTAGAATTCTTTTTGATTCTGTCTTTAGAATGACCCCTTTCTGTTTACTAATGATCCATCTGTTTGTATATGCTAACTTTCCTTTATAAACCTTAATCATATTCATCATAGCTATTTAACATTCCCAGTCTATTATATAGTGTCTGTCACATCTGACTTTCTTCTGTCCTAATATTGCTTATTATTTACTTTTTCCCTTTTAGCATGTTCAGTGTTTTTTTTTTTTTTTTTTTTTTTTTTTTTTTTTTTTTTTTGAAAGGTAAGCATGCATGATGTGCTTGGGGAAAAGGACTGTGATAATAGGCTGTTAGTAATAGACTGGATACATGTTGGGTTGCAGATTTCTATAGCCCTGTGACTAAGTCTTAGTAGGTTAGAAAAATTATGCCTTCAGCTGTCAATTTGTAAGTGCCACCAGCTTGTTCATCCCTTTAGATAATACAGAATATTTAGAGTGGGCTGGCACTAAAATATTTCTTAAAGTCAGTTATGCTGGGCTCTGGAAAAAAAATCTCCAGCAAGTTAGATATGATAAAATAGTCTCAGTCAAGAGCAGGTCTTAAATAGAAAACAGTGTTCTGGCCTATCTCAGAATGACTAATCTCTCCTGTGGTTGCTTGAAACCTGAGGGAACTTCCTCTAGTCTTCCCGAGAGGTCACTGGAGGATGCTAGGGATTGTTTCCCTCTCCATAGTCCACAATGAACCGGGGCCAGTTTTCAGTAGACTTCTAATACTGGCTACCTCAAGATTTCTGCTCACTGGTTTCTGCCTGGTAATTTGTGACTGTATCTGCTTGTTTTTTTCTCCAGTTGTAGGGACACAGTCATTTCTTCTGTGGCTTTACCTCTCTGACAGAAAATCTGTTGTTCAGTCTTTTTAATTAAGATGGAATGACTTGCCCAGCAGTGGTGTCGCACACCTTTGATCCCAGACTCTGTAGGCAGAAACAGGTGGATCTCTGTGAGTTCAAGGCTAGCATGGTCTACAAAGTGAGTTTCAGGACAGCGCCAAGGCTGTTACACAGAGAAATCTTGTCTTGAAAATCCAAGAAAGAAAAAAAGGATGTCCAAGCTTCGCATGAATGAATGGTTGATCCTACTAGTAGGTCAGATGTTATCTTAGAACTGGAATTGACTCTTAAAATAGCATTCTGAACGGTTGAATCCAGAAAGTCAGTTCCACAGCCTTGCCTTTAAATTATAATGATGCTTCAAACATAGTTCTCATATGTGAATTGAACTAAGAATTAAATTCAAATATTTTTGATATTGCAAAATATTATGCAAGGTCGGTTTCAAGCAAATTACTTATTAAAATGCAGTTGAAAATTCAGAGCCTAAATATTAATCTTAATTTGTAATTTAGTATTCTTAGCTATATGAAAAAATAAGTATTTTGTATAGAAAAATTACTCAACCTTTGTATTAAAAAACTTTGTTCATGAAAGCTATGTCAGGAGAAAATGTCCTGTTTTATTGGCTCGTAGTCAAACGTATCACAAAATTTATTTTTTGTTGTTTCACTTTCAATACATGAAAAATATAACAGCTACTTCACAATTTTTTCCTTAAAAATCCATTTTGAGGCTTGGTGCATAGCTTAGTTGGTAGACTGCTTACCCTGCAAACTTATGCCCTGGCTTTAATCCCCAACAATACACACAGGGAATCCTTTTTAACTTTGCAATCTCAAACTTTTGCTTAAAAGCATTTGTTTTTTTAATCAAAATTTTGGCAGCCAGATAATTTTCTGAAGTAGATTCTAAATCAATCTCCTCCCCCCCACACACACATCTACAGTGTCTCACATGAGATCTTTATATTCCCACAAAATAAAGATGGGTTTAAATTGGGAATTAGACCTATCCTGATAAATCTGTACTTATAAAATTCTTCAGCTAGCATATTGCAGTGTATTTTACTACTGGATAGTTCCGTAATTATTTAATCACTTAAGGATCTATTCCTTTAGCATTTATTTTGGTTACTTTAGCTGCTATCTCCATTTTCAGTCTATTCAAAATACTGCAGCACCAAAAATGGTTCATTAGAATATCAAATCAAAACACCTAAGTACGTATTTGATTTGTTAAACATATACCTCATTCTGTCTTTATAAAATCTGAAGTGAAGTTGCTGAATCATTTAATAATTTAAGTAGCCCATGTGTATTACTAATACTAAACAGTGTCTCAGTTGTAATCACCTCCTGAATCTGCATTTCATTTGACTGGCTGTCTTGGTTTCTGTGGATCACAAGGAAATAAGATAATTACAGTGCATTTCCCTGGGCTGCCCTTCAAAGCGCAGGTAGGTGCTTTAAAGGGACCGACCACACCATAGCTGATCTGCTCGGGACCCAGTGCAACTCCTACTCTTACTACTTAGCTTGCCACATCATAGTTTGATTTATCTTGATCCAAAATTCCCAGAGATGAAGTGCATTGAAGTTACTAAAAAACATTAATTTGAACTTAGGATATATGTCTTAAGAGGTTCTTTTCAGGAAGTGCTTTTACAAATAAGATAATTATTATGTGACAATTATTCAACAAGACGACTTTGTTAGGGTATAAACCAATTAGGCTCCTTGCTGTTGAAAAACTGGTCAGACATGTAGTCAGCACTTTGATGTGAGGGAACCAGAGCAACAGCTGGAGGGTTTCAGGCTAAAGAAAATATTGATTAATTGCCTCTCGGCCCAGTGTTATACCAATGTAAGAACCGGATTTCTTTCTTCTGGGAGATGGTGCAGCGTGTTATTTACCCTACAAGGGATTTGTTCTTTGAGGTTCTTTCTACCAAGTATTACTTTCATCTGTTGAATTTCACTTTTTCTCCTGTACCTCGCATGCACTGATATATTCTGATTTCTTTTTTTATAGTTTTTACATAATTTTTTATTTTATTAGTTCAAATTAGGAACAAGCTTGCTTCAGATGTCAATCCCTTCTCCCTCTCCCTCTCCCTCCCCTCCCCCCAACATACCACA